TGTGGTTGATGGGTGTCATTAGCTGGTCTTTTGCGTGTAGTGATCCCCTGTCCTTGTGGGTGGGTAGAGCTCGTTGACCTTTTGCACGTAGTATGTTTGATAGCTGGGAGCCAAGAGGAAAGTATGAAGCTCAACAAAACTTGGCTCCCAGCTACCAAACATACTACGTGCAAAAGGTCAATGAACTCTACCCACCCACAAGGACAGGGGATCACTACACGCAAAAGACCAGCTAATGACACCCATCAACCACAAGAACAGATAATCTCCTCCCCTTAGCACAACAATACACCCACAACAATACACACTAATCACCCATCTACAGGAAAAGACAAAAGCCTATCTCACAGCCATAAATATTGCACTCCCAAGCCAACTACACCAGAGCACAGGTTGCTGTCCTCTGAAGATGCCGGCCACAGAGACTGGCGAAACGTCAGGAAGAACAACCTTCAGAACACGGCCAAAGAGCCCAAAAAACCCAGAACAACCATTAGATCCCAGCCGTGAAAGCCTTCACGAATCTACTGTAGTTTATCAGGTTTTTGAAGAAAAATAAATACTGAAATAGGTTTCCTGAAGACTGAAGTTAAACTGAGAAAGACAGACCAGTAAATTGGAGAAAGCTGTTAAGTTGCTAAGGAAAAGCATGTTACCCTTTCCATCAACATCTTCAAGTCTGGCTTCACTGGTCCATCCACCATCTTCTTCTAGACTCTCAGAATGCGCCAATGCTTTGAAACCATCCTGCTCGGAAGATCTGGAATTATCAATTATTTCAGCAAGCCTGGCTGCCACAAGAGTGATGGCAGGGTCATCTGTAAAGCAAGTACCTGTAAACAAAAAACAGAGAGACAGTTCCACTCTGGAGGGATGCAGGATTCTATCCCCCATGTTGTTTAATATCTATGTGAAGCTGCCAGATGAGGTTATGAGGGGTTCAGTATACTCATGACAGTTGGTCTTATTTCTTTTTGTCATCAGAGTTACGTGAGGCTATGCAGCTGCTGAACTGCTGTTTGGACACTACCACAGGCTGGATGGGGTGTGTGTCAGTAGATGAATCCCAACAAGACTGTGAACTGATGTTCCCTGATTTAGGAATTGGGTAAGTGACTAGTCTTGGATAGAGTTAAACTGTATCTGAAAGGGCAAGCCCATGGTTTGGGGCAACTCCTACATGCTTCTCTGTTACATGAAATCCAAGTGAATCTGTGATGTGAAGTGGGGCCAGCTTTCACTGAGCCACCAGCTACTGCCAGTCCTGGATTAGGAAATCTGGTTGAAAATAACCTAGCTACATACACTGATAAATTCCAGCTTAGACTATTGCATGTCATTCCACATCAAGCAGCCCTTGAAAACAAAATGGAAGCTGTCCTTAATGTATTGTGTAACGCATAGCTTGGTGAAAGGAATATTACAGTGGTGCCTTGACTTATGAATGTCCCGACTTACAACCATTTTGAGTTGCGACCAGCTCTGGCCGCAAAATTTTGCTTCATCTTGCAGCCAGAGCTTCGAGTTGCAACCGGAAAAAGGCAGGGAAATAAGGCGGGGAATTCAAATTTGCTACCCGTTGGTAGCCAAAAAGGCTGCTTCTTTGTAGCTCTTTTGCCCCAGCGGTTAGAGTGAGTGCTTCGGAGGAGGCTTCAGACTGCCTAGTTGTGCTTTCTGCTCCTGAGTAAGTACATTTACTTTGTTTTGCAAGGTGGGTTTGGGTTTGGGTTTGGGGGGGTTGTTTCTGTGCTGTGATGTTTTTTGTGTTTTGCTGTGCTTTTCCCCCCAGCCCCATCACATTCTGATAGAGCTGGCTGGGGGGGTGGATTTTTTCCCCAGCTCCATCGCATGTCCGGATGGGGCTGGCTGTGGGGAGGGGTTGTTTTTCCCCCCAGCCCTATTGCGTGTTTGGATGGGGCTGGCTATATGTGAGGGGGTTGTTTTTTCCCCAGCCCCATTGCCTGTTCAGATGGGGCTGGTTGTGCATGTGTTTTGGGTGAGTTTTTTAAAAATTTACCCAGCCCCATCGCATTCCGATGGGGCTGGCTGTGTCGGGGTGTGGGAGTTTTGGGGATTATTTTTCAGCCCCATCACTTTCTGGTGGGGCTTGGAGTGGTTTTTGTTTTTTGTGATTTTTGGGAGGCAGAACAGATTAATGGGGGTTCAATGCATTCTTATGGGAAATGGTGCTTCGACTTACGACCATTTTGAGTTACGGTCATTTTCTGGAACAGATTATTGTCATAAATCGAGGCACCACTGTATATGGAAACCATAAGACTCTGCATAAGTGATTCAGAACTCCACAGGTAATAATAAATACTATGCTCCTGGCCACCCAAACCCCATGAGTTCAATGCTGGAAAAGTCAAGGTGGACTACTTACCCCCAAACAGAACAACTCTAATGATTCAGGGGGGCCATAAGGTTGATACGGTACTGTATGGAAAGGATTGCCAATGCTATAGAAGAGGAACCTGATAGAGAGAACAGGTGTGTCTGTGTGTGTGAACTGTTCATGCACTGAAGTTACTTTCGGGGAGGGCTAAGAGTTATAAATGGATTTTGTACCACACGGGATCTAGCACCCCTAACCTCAGCATTATTGAAGGGAAAAGAGTAGACAATTATAGTATGTCCAGCAATTTTAATAAACTATAAGGAGAATATTTTAAAATTATAGCATTTAATTTGTTATTCTTTAGTTTTCATAATGCCTTAAAAAAGTACAGTGGTGCCCCGCATAGTGAGGTTAATCTGTTCCGGATTAACCTTCGCTATGGGGAAACATCGTTTAATGCGTTCCAAATGGGCCCAAAACTCACCGTTCTGCAATGTTTCCCCATCCTGCCGTGGCCATTTTGGGTGTTCCGGTGGCCATTTTGGGTGTTCCAGCAGCCATTTTTGGTGTTCTGGCGGCCATTTTGGGTGTTCTGGTGGCCATTTTGGGTGTTCCAGTGGCCATTTTTGGTGTTCCGGCGGCCATTTTGGGTGTTCCGGTGGACATTTTGGAACCGCCGAACAGCTGTTCCCCCATCGCAATGCGAAGAAACATCGGTATGCGATCTCATTAGCGATCGCAAAATCTGCATCGCTATGCGGATTCATCATTAAACGGTGCGCTCGTTATGCAAGGCACCACTGTATATGACAAGTTGAAATGTATTGGGCTTTTAATACAAAAAATTATATAGTTTTCAGCATCTTGAGAGGTGATCTGTGCTTTTTCAATATGAAATGCACATTTATGTATATAAGATTTCCTTACCTTGTGCCTCTGGTAAAGGTGTGGCATGGGCACATTCCATGAACCCATATCCATTTACAGTGTCTTCCCTTGCTAATCTCTGTGGGGCCTCCTCATCTATTTGTGCCCTCAGACAAGAAGGAAACAGAAGATGTTTCCAGGTGGATTTCATGGTTTTCTTCTTCCTCTTCTTCTGGCTCCAGTTTTTCGCAGGCTGTTTTTGATCCTCAGGGGATGAGCTTTCAAGTTTCTTTCTTTCATGTACAGGATCACCTGCCTGCGTATCCTCCTTGTAGAGGGGTGTTCCTCCCGGACTCTTTGCTTCCTCTTTTAAAAGTTGCTCATATTTGCTGGCAGACAAGCGGCGCTGGGCATAGGCCATAAGCATTCTGTATTCCATGCTGTTTCTGTCCACATCATCCAAAGGGATTTCTTCCATGCTGGAAGAACTGGCTCCATTCATGCTGCACCTGCAAAGGTAATTGTGAATCGTTTCTGACTGTCCCGTTTATTAATGATGTATGGGATTTCTCTGGAACCCTTTATCACTTTGGCAAAACCCAATGGTAAATTTTTATTACTGGCAAGGCAGCCTTAGATTAAACTGGTTGATCTGAACTTCAAAGGCCAGGCATCAGCAAGCAACTGTTAAAATGAGAAAAGATTCTCATGTGTTGTGCTTTGTAAGCCTTTTCAGAGCATGCATTTTGAGTTAGGAATTTTCCATTAGCCCTAGGCAACTAAGCAACAGCACCAACCAGCAGCCTTTAACTCAGGGCTGCACCACCCTGTGCCAGTCCTGGTAAACTCCCTGCTTCAAGTGGCACCATGAGTAAAGAACACAAGGTAACCCAAATTCTGCATCCCACACACATTCTGCTAACTTTCCTCTTTCAATCCAATATATTCTGCAATTTTGTATATCTGTTCTATTCCTGTCAAGTCACAAGAAGAAGGCAGAATGACACAGAAGCCACTTCCTCAAACCACAGGAAATCCTCTTCCACAACTTTTCTGGCTTCTCAAAGTTCTCCAGGTACTGCTTTTGCCAGAAGGCAGTGTCTGTAAGCACTGTACTCTGTTCCACCCTGGTCTTATGCATGCAAAGGCAGCTGGATACATGCAGAACAGGGCCCAAGGACCAATCCTCTAATTGCTGGACTGCAATCTCCACTCATCCTAGTCAAAAGAGCTAATGAGGAAGAAAGCTGGGAGTTACCATTCAGCAACATCTGGAAAGCTGCCCTTTGCCCCTCCTTGGATGTGGACCCTTGTGTAGCCTGTGATCTGCCCCATGCACAGAGAACTGTGCTTTGGTGCCCCAACCATTTTGTCTGGGTAGAGTGAGTCTGGAATAAAACATATAGGATCCATGTGGCAGCTGGGCCTGTGAGCAGAACTCCCACCAACTCTTATTGTGGGCAAGGACTTGGGAGGGTCCATAGGATCATAGTTAAGACATCTGGCCATTTCCCCAGGTTGTCCGGCAGATGGCAAAGACAGACAATTTCCTAGGACAGGACGTCCCTGTCTTCATTGGATTTCCAGTGACAGGAATCAGGAACTGTCCTGCCAATGCTGTGTGCTGTCCACAACCATATTTTGCTTCCCCTGTTCTTGGTTTGCTCTGAACACCTCTATGCATTGCTGAGAAAGAAGAGGCAAGGATAAGCCCAGCTCTTTCGTTTGGGAAATGTGACTTTGAAAGAGGTAGGATGTTTTGGGGGCCTGGGGAGGGAGGAAAGGCTCTGGTTTTGAAGAAAGACAGCAACACAGGTCAGCTCCAGAGGAAGTTTTTATTGCATTATCATCTTCTTTTATTATCTGAATTTTACAAGGGGCTTCAGACCTTATCATCCTCTAATGGTAACCCTCTGTGGCTGTTCAGCCTTTTTATGTTAAATAAGTCATGCATTATTTATGTTTTATGATGATGTGGTTGAGAGGTGGGGCCACTATAGATGTTAAAAGGTGGAGCCTGAGAGGAGAAAGGGGGGGGGTAGAGTTTACAGTCTGGATCTGAGTTTGAAGGGAGAGAGAGAGGGAGTTAGTTTGGGGAATCTGAGGAGTTATTAGTCTGAGGAGTATATTAGTAACCTGTAAGATAATATAGAAGATTGTTATTGATGCTTGATGAACCTGAAGAAGATATTTATGATTATAGAAACATCTGTAATCAATAAACCTGTTTTACTCAAAAGACAGTGAAGAATGGACCTTAGTCTTTCCTAAGTAAAGTACGGTGATAAAGAAATCAACTGGTGGCAGAGTGTCAAAAGGTGTTTTATTTCGGTTTGCTTTCGTGAGCTCTCTGTTTTGGGGAGACAAACAGGGGCCATAAGGGGCAAACATTGCACCCTCCTTTTGTTTTTCCACAGCTTCTTACTAAGGGAAAGCTGTTGAGGGGAGAAAGATGCAAGAGCTTCACAGCACCTGTTGAGCGCAAGCACAAGGAGCCCTCTGCATCTGGAATGCCCACCAGAGTAGCCATCTCTCAGAAGTGAACCCTATGCATAGGCCTTTTGGCATGTGCCTGTTGCCAGTGTCTGCGCTGGGGTGGTATTCTCTCATCATCTCCTCCCCACCCACCCTTGGTTAAGTTTGCATTTGCCTAAAGGGGGCACAGATCTTGTTTATTTTCTCAACAAAAATCATATTGTTTGGTCTTTTAAATTCTGTTTGTACCCTCCCACCTTGAACTTTTAACTTTGTTTTAAAAAGGCCACTAAACCCTACGCTATCTTGCCACCTGCACAAAGGCTTCTGTTTTTTGACAATCCCAGAACCCTCCCCCCTGTACGTATGAAACTCAAAGCTACCAATACAGAATGTACCACTTTTGGTCCTCTTGGACCTGCCCCAGAATGAGGCGGCGTTTTAAATTTTCTTCAGACATTTTCCAGTGCTTAAAATCTACAATGATCCATCTGAACTGGTAACTTTCTTTTCTTTTATTAATTAATCAATCCTGAGAACAGTGGAAAAGCGTTGGCTTTTAAGCAGTCTTCAGCCTCTTCAACCTCATGTTGCTTTTTGTTTCAGTTCCCCCTCCCTCTTTCATTTCTCACTGCGCTCAGTAAAATTCTAAAAACTTCAGTGAGGTAACTTTTTCCACTGCTTTCACCTCTGATTGATCTGTAAGCTAATTAGATTTTTTGGTCTCTGTTTTGTGGCTCATATTTTCTTTTTCCCAGTCAACAATTTTCCTTATTGTTCCCTCTTTTTTTATTTTTCCCTCTCCTGCCCCATTTTGTATCACACACTCACACCTAGCTAAGCCATTTCAGGCTTTGGGTCTCCCTACTGAAGAGTCCTAACTGGGTTCTTTTCAAAGTGCCTTCATTTTCTTCATGCCTTCCCTCCCTCTCCAAAATAATAACTTACATTTTAAAAAGGCTTTCCGGTTTAAGCTATCTCAGGAGTTTGAAAACCTCCCTCCATTTTCTTTCTCTGTGGCACATATTTCCAGGCTTACCCAGGCTATTTGGGGCATTTGCCTTTTCCATTAGAGGCAAGAGACATTCATGAACTACAGATAGCTCAGGTGTTGGGAGTTCAATTACCCATTGTGCCTCCTTAACAGGGGCTGGACTCAATGATCCATAGGGTCTCTTCCAGCTCTAGAGTTTTAAAATGTTGCTGTTGTAGTAGTACACACAACCTTTTCCATGAATATTTATTTATTTACTGATATCACTGACTTTGAAATGGTTACCGTCTTTTAATCTTCTCATTATTCATATTTCTGTATTATTCTAATTGACCTAATTGACATTTATTTTAATTCTTCTTTAAGAAGCAGTATTGGGGTCTACACAGGCAGATCCTGCGATAGAGCGAAGTGAAGCAATGCAAAACAAAAATATATCCCAGATCTCACTTTGACTCTGTCAATAATTTGTTTCAGCTTTGCATTGCACGGACACCAGGCTGCAAAGATAATTTCAAAAAGGCTCAAAGACAATTTCAAGCTCATCTACTGGAGGAAATAATCATGTACCATGAGATCACATGCCCTATGGGATTGTTTTTATTTTTACAGATCATATATACAGGGTGGTGATGAAACTTTGCATTTGTAACCTTTACACACCAATAAAAGAAACAAAGTAATTCCCTCTATTTATTCTGGTCCTATTTACAAGATTTACACATCTACACAAGGAACCCTTGTGATGTGCAAAAGTATAAAAACGTATAGGATATGGAGACACTGTCAACCTTCCCACTAAAAGCCCAGTGAGGGCTGGGTACGCATAGCTGCCCCAGGAAGTTGAGAGTTGAAAAACAGCATTCAAGGAAGGGAATTAAATCAGGTGCCTACATAGAAGTGGTTGGGGCAAGGAGGAGGGCATGGCTTTAGAAATATCAAAAGCTTCAAAGCACAGCCCGTCAGCTGGAAAAAAAGGTTCCCTGAGGGGGGGTAAGGGTTAAGGAAGGGTTGGAAGACGTAAATTAGTTATCTGTGCCTGTTCCTTCATTCTCCTTTTGTCCATTTCTCTTCTTTTTCCCTTCTCAAGGAAGTGAGAAAAATAAAAAAAAAAGCTGCACACAGATAAAAAAACTATACAGAGAGAAGCAACCCATTCTTGTCTGGTAAGTGTCATCGAAGCTACCAGCATGAATTTGTCCAAACTCTGGGAGGCAGTGAAAGACAGGAGGGCCTGACATGCTCTGGTCCATGGGGTCACGAAGAGTCGGACACGACTTAACAACTAAACAACAACAAGTTATCTCCTGGTCCACAGGGAGAAACTATTTCTAAATGTCCTCTCAGACACTGGAGGGAGAATTATCAATAGCCTTAAATGCAGAATTCCAATACAGTGGAGTCTCGACCTACAGACTGCTCCACTTACGTACTTTTCGACCTACAGACTTTTCCAGCCACAAAGTTTCATTTCAACTTGCAGCCAGAGAATCGACCTACGGACCAGAAGGGGGAGGTGGGGAAAGTGCCAAATTCAAATTTGGCACCTTCCCCGCCTCCCCCTTCCAGTCCATAGGCCGCAGGTCGTGCCTCCGGATGCTTTCCAAGGCTTCTCCGCAGCCATGGGAGGCCTCTCGGAGGTGTCCCCCCCCCCACTGCTGATCATGCTTTGGAGGCACTATCATGGGGGGACACTTCTGAAATGCCTCCCATGGCAGCGGAGAAGCCCTGGAAGGCATCCGGAGGTCCCCCACCGCCGCTGCTGCTGGGAGCCGAGCCGCGCCGCGCCGGGCAATCCCGGCCATGCTCGGACTCCTGGACTTCCCCCGCCAGAGAAAGCCTGGGGAGTAGACCGGGCCTACTGGGGGAAGCCCTCCCCCGGTAGGTCTGGTCCACCCTGGGAAAGCCTGCATCGGTGGAGGGGGAACCTCCGAGAGGCCTCTGGCAGCGGCAATGGTGGCAGTGAGGGACATCCGAGAGGCCTCCAGCAGTGGCAGAGAAGCCCTTGGAGGCCTCGGGCAGCGGCGATGGCGGCAACTGGAGACCCCTGGAAGACTTCAGAAAGGTACGTTTGTTATTAATTTTTTTGAGGGGGGGTTCTTGGGCCAGGTACGCATTAGATGGTTTTCAATGCATTTCTATGGGAAATGCATTTTTGACTTGAGGACTTTTTGACCTACGGATTCTTCCTTCTAATTCAGACCAAAAGTGGATTTGTTTTTGTTTTAAATAGCACTGATGGTGCAATTTACAAAGTATATTGCATGCACAAAATAGACTCTGATTGTAAGATGGCAGCCACAGCTTCACATTCAGTACTGTGGGGCAGCCCTCCCAAGTAGTTCACAACATTCTTGCCGTGCTGTCTGAAAGAAAAATACTTGTATCGCAAGCTGAGGGTTGGGCTGAATCTGAAAGAGGGTAATGTACAACAACTGCTAACATTAGCCACTTTTTTATCTCTATGTTGTGAGGCAGGCTGAGAGACAAGGAGAAAAACAATCTGTATTTGTTACGGGCAGCTTGTGGCTGAGGAAACTTCACCCCAAATTTTGCAGGGACAACTCTTCTCCTTGGTCCTCAGTACCTCTAGATTTCCTGTCATGTGGTTCATCTTATGCTGTATTCATAGTCAACCCTGCTTCCCAATACCTATCAGTCTTCAGCAAAGATCAGTCTCCCTAGGCTTCCCTTTCAAGCTGCCTCCCAGCCGAGATCCATCACTCCACTTCATGCAGGCCACCGATGTTTCTTAGACTTATGAAATGATTATACTTTAAAACTTCAACAACTGTAATTAAAACAATTGCATAAAAATAGCGCTAAAGTTAGATGAGAGTCCTTGCATTTACAAGCTAATAGGGGTGGGGTGGAGTTCAATCCACAAGGCTCATCTGATATAAACATACCAGGATTAGGATTAGGCATCCTTCAGTCTTGAGAGACTATGGTCGTGTGCTCTAAATAGAGGTCTTGGAACAGCGTCTAGTGTGGCTGAGAAGGCCAATTCGAGAGTGACAAACCCTTCCACACTGGAGACAAATCCAATCTGTCCCCTGTCCCGCTCCCTGGTTTTGCTTGTTTCGGGACTGCCTCTTTGCCTCGGTCTGCTGTACAAGTGTCTCTTCAAATTGGGAGAGGCCATGATGCACCGCCTGCCTCCAGGCTGAACACTCAGATGTCAGGGTTTCCCATCTGTTGAGGTCCATTCCTAAAGCCTTCAGATCCCGTTTGCAGATATCCTTGTATCGCAGCTGTGGTCTCCCTCTGGGGTGATTTCTCTGCACTAATTCTCCATATAGGAATGGACCTCAACAGATGGGAATCCAACCATCAGACATTCTCACGACATGCCTGAGCCAATGTAAGCATCACTCTTTGAGTAATCTGTACATGCTAAAAATTCCAGCTCATTCTAGAACTACTCTATTTGGAACTTTGTCCTGCCAGGTGATACCAAAAATGTGTCGGACACAACGCATATGGAACGTGTTCAGCTTCCTCTCCTGCCATGCACAAAGGATCCAGGACTCGCTGCAGTACAGGAGTGTGCTCAGGACACAGGCTCTATAGACCTGGATCTTGGTATATGCCGCCAGCTTCAATGTTTATCCAGCTCGACACTGAGGGAGAGAAAGGAGGAAAGGAGCTACCAAATTATTTTATCCTGGAGCCCAGGAGAAAAGGTGCCACCTCACCATCTCTGCATGAGTCATCGTGCTGAGCTTGCTGGTTTCTAGTCCCAGTCAGTCTTTACCAACAGGACAGACTGCCATGTCTCTGTCATCTTACCTTCACTCCCCCAACCAGTGAAATTACCAGTGCAGTGTCTTTTATCAGAATTATCCATGGCATGTGTCTTTGGTGAAGAAGCCATGGAGGGAGTTGCAAGTGTCCCTGCAAACAAATACAATCACGGTGGTCTCTCATTCCTGAGCTATTTCACTGTTAGTCTTCTTGGCAGGAAATGTTCAGACCCCAAAGGAGGCTCAAAACTGTTCTCCATTTGTTAAGGGGAAAAAAATCATGCTATGTGCTGTGTGCCAAAACCAACTCACAATCCCTCACATGTCGCTACTAAACGTCTTGGTTTTTTTCAGCTTATACAAACTAAAATGAAACTCTCAGTGAACAGCTCAATACACCCATTTATTTATTTTGGGTTATATCAGTCTGCTTATTCAACGGTTCCAGGCTGGGACAGTTAAATGCATTCAACTTGGTAGTACAAAAGGCACCTTCAATTAGGTAATAGTTTTTTATGCAAAGCAAAATTCAAAATTAGGTTGCCCTGTGTCATTCTCTTGTTTCTGGTACAATGTGTTTGCATCACGAACACAGTTTCTTATTAGAATTGCCCACACTTTTTCTAGCAAGGCTCTTCTAATCTTAACACATCAAAATATTTCTTATTACAGAAAAACATATATCACTTTAATAATTCTTAAATGAAAATTTCAGTACAAATCTTTATTTCACCTCCCTCCACCCCCAAATTCACAAAGCCAATGTCTTTTCAAAAGAAACTGGCTAGGAAATTAATGTAGCAGGATTCAAAAAGCAGATATGTATAGAGAAGATGATTAAGTAGAAATTTTGGATGAGATACCAAAACCTGCCAGAATAGCAAGAAATGAGCTTCATTGGACCAGGTTCAGCTCTCTTCTAAGCAAGGTCCGATCAGCTGCGCTTACAGAGATCCTATAATAATCCTCCTCTGATGGTGGCGCCTGGCAAGCAGACCCTTAATAAACCTGGAGACAGTAGCTCCATATCAGTGAATAAATATTTATAGTTTTAAGGAGGGCTCTCTCTGCCACCATGAGTCCACCTCCCCACCATTATTATTTCCACAAACTCCTCTGCTTCCTTGGTAACCATTCCTTGGTAACCATTGGATGCTTGCCATAATAATAATTATATCCATTCCCACTTATGATGATCCTTTTCAGGTTTTTCTAAGTATAGAGCAGTGGTTCTTAACCTTTGTTACTTGGATGCATTTGAACTGCAACTCCCAGAAACCCCAGCCAGCACAGTTGGTGGTGAAGGCTTCTGGGAGTTGCAGTCCAAAACTCCTGAGTAACTCAAGGTTAAGAACCAGTGGTATAGAGTACTCAGAAGTGGTTCACCAGTCCCTTTGTTTGGGGGGTGTTCTGGGTCTCTGCAGCTTGCCCATGACCACACAGGCTGGCTTTCCTCCTAAGAGGCACAGTGGGGACTCAAACTCCCAACCTGTGATCCTGAAGCCAGGTATGAAACTTACTGTACTACCCAACCAGCTGTCAGGAAACTATGGCTCCTCTTTTTCAACCTTACTACTGAAAGATCAATAATACTTACTAGGAGCAAGTGAGTGGTGATAAGTGAATAAACAGGTTGCAAGCAGGAAGAAAGGAAAGTCTAGGGGGAATCTCATAAGTGCATCCCCTGCTGGAGTTTTGCCCCAGAGTTGACAACCCTTAAAAGCAGCTCACTGCAAAACAGCCTTTTATAACTCAAATGCTATCTTAAAGGGGAATGTTATTTAAAAGGACATTAAGTAGAGGCTTCCCTTGGATGAAAGGTCCAAAGTCTAGGCAAAAAACAACAACACCACTATTAAAGACCTCTTCCAGTAAGTGTGGAGGTGTAATAAAAAGGGACAAGGAAGTACAGTATATCTCCAGTTGTAAGTCATGTCCTCGGTCCTCAGAAATGCTACAGCAGTGGTTCCCAACCTTGGTTAGCCCAGGTGTTCTTGGGCTGCAGTTCCCAGAAGCCTCCACACCCAACCATGCTGGGCTTTCTGGAAGTTACAGTCCAAGAACACCTGGGCTGCCTGAGGTCGGGAACCACTCTGCTACAGTCTGTTTTAATTCCAGCAAGAGACCACAGTAAGGCTATCGTCTTTTGCATACTTCTACTTATTCTACTGAATTCAGTAGAACTTACTTCTGAATAGACAAGCATAAGATTGCTCTGTAAGAATATCAATGACCTTTACCCACAAGCTGATAGTTAGTTTCTGAATGTGAGACATTTATCTCAGATACGGACAATATGCTTTCTGGAACGTCCTTTTCTCAAGAAAATGGGTTTCACTGCCGAACCTTACAGTCTCATGGAGAAAACCAGGGTGCTTCCAGACAAACCTTTCAGCATGCAGTTATCCTGCTTCAACATTTCAGCAGTTTGTCGAGGGTTCAGAAATAACTTTTTCATGTTTTCCAATCATTTTTCTTTCGTAAAAAGAGGAAGGTCTAGACAGATGAGCTGGGCAACACCTTTTCACTGGCAGCACTGTGAACCATCCATTTTGAAGCACCCCTGGACATGCATGCTACTAATCCCGAACCATTCATGCTACCAGAAAGAGCAGTCGGCTACTGCCGGAAATTTTGGTTGTATTTTAACACTGTAGCCTCACTTCATTAGGTGAAGTGCACACCCTATGGCAGAGATAATAGAGCCAGGAAACAATCCAGCAGTGCAATGACAGTACACCATTCACCACCGGCCCGGATTTTGATCATTTTATATTTCTATATATCATTTTCTGCTTATAAAACATTTCCATTCCAGAAAAGCAAATCTCACTGTCCCTGGTTTGGCCTATAGATTTCCAGAATAAATATATTTGCATTACAGGTAGTACTGAAGCTTAAGCAAACATATCACCCATTTCAATTCTAATGTATCAAAAACTTTGGGTAATTACCTTTGGATAAAGTTGCCAAAACAGTCCCCAAAATTCTTCTTTCCTGGTTTTCTAATAGCGTCACAAAATGCCCCAGTAACACTTCTCCTAATCTGAAAAGACACAACCCTTGATCTTTATACTGAAAGACTAACGTGTAAGGAACTCGGAGAAAAGAGCTTCTGGTTCCACTTCCTTATTGCATCGTCAATGTAGCTGAGAGGTTAATGGGTGGAGCCAACCATCTGGACATGCTAATAACTTTAGCCAGGGGACAGGGAGACACACCCACCTATCTGCTTTGAACTCGAAGCTTTTCTGTTTGGCCCTGAAGTCAGACAGCTAGATGCATTTGGCTATGCAGCACCAAAAGTGAATGTTTCCAGAATTACATCCACGTTTTTAATATACCCAACTGAGGGACTGTCTCCTGACTGTCCTGTTCCATAAATGCAGAGACAGATGCTAGTGGAAAGTGCAGGAACAAAGGAGGGCTAGACAACAGCACTTCTCCATGTTGTGTACCCTCCTGCAACTGCTTTGAAAAAGCGACACAGTCTCTGATCGTGGAGGTTCCTCAGCTATCCCTGGTTAATAGACAGCCGGAAGTAACAAAGGTTAAGAACCAGTGGGCTAGACAACAACACTTCTCCATGTTGTGTACCCTCCTGCAACTGCTTTGAAAAAGCTACACGGTCTGGTTAATAGACAGCCGGAGGTCCAACCCTCATTGCCTTGGAGTGCTCCAACACGGGAAACATTCCAAAGAAACCTAGACTGCCAGCTATCAGATACTTTGATTTGCATTCCTTCATTAGGCAGAGGTTTGAACTTGATGGCTTTACATACCCCAACTCTATTATTCTACGATTCTATTACTTTAAAGCCATTCAAGGTGGTATAGGCTGTGTCATGCCAGGAAATGCTGGATGTTCATTATATCCTCTGGAAAAAGAAATTTAGTATTTATCAGTTTTCACAAGACACCTGCCAAGTTCACCTTCCTACATGCACACACAAAATGCCAACACACTTTTGCTTAATATCATCGTCATCATTATCATCTAAAAATACAGGACAGTCTTTAACTGGTATTATATAACAGATACAAGTTTTAACTAAAAGCCTAAGTATCAATTAAATATTGGTGTGATATGTATACTGTTCCCAAAATTGCCATTTTCCAGCTCTGATTGTGCTGTTTCAGAGATCTGCAGCTCATTATGTATTTTATAAAATTCTGTTGCATTGTTCTCAAAGCCCATGTGACTAGGGGGTCACTGAAATGTGTTTCATGCACAAATGAGATTTCTATTGCCAAGTCTCTGTATTTTGTTAATTTTTCCAGTTCTTTATCTTCAGCTGCGGCATCCCTGGAATTTCAGGGTCAATTATCCAGATTTTTTTTTGTTCTATTTCTATTACGTCTGGTATATTACTGTATGCTTAAGACATTTGTCTGTATGAATCCAAAAGACCATAATATCTTAACATGGTCATTTTCTGACATCTTCTCTACCTGATGTTCCCACGGAATCTTGGATGCTGGGGGGTTATTTTTTAAAATAATGACCAGTGTATTAATTTTGCAACTCTTTCATGTCAAGCTTTGTAGTCTCTCTGCACAGTCTTTACACATTCACAGATGAGGTGTGACACACATTCATCTGTTCCTTTTTGGGACAGTCAACATTTGCTGTTTACATTAGTAGGCATCTTTCAGTCTCGAGAGACTATGGTACGTTCTCTGAATAGAGGTCTTAGGCATCTTTCAGTCTTGAGAGACTATGGTACGTTCTCTGAATATAGGTCTTAAACAGTGCCTAGTGTGACTGAGAAGGCCAATTTGAGAGTGACAGTCCCTTCCACACTGAAGACAAATACAATCTGTCCCCTGTCTAGCTCCCTGATTTTGCTGCTTCCGGGACTGCCTCTTTGCCTGGGCCTGCTGAACAAGTGTGTCTTCAAATTGGGAGAGGCCATGATGCACCACCTGCCTCCAGGCTGAATGCTTAGATGTCAAGGTTTCCCATCTGTTGAGGTCCATTCCTAAGCCCTTCAGATCCCGCTTGCAGATATCCTTGTATCGCAGCTGTGGTCTCCCTCTGGGGCACTTTCCCTGTACTAATTCTCCATACAGGAGATCTTTTGGAATTTGACCTTCAGCCATTCTTATGACATGTCCAAGCCAATGTAGATGTTGCTGTTTCAGTAATGTATACATGCTAAAAATTCTAGCTCGTTCTAGGACTACAGTGGTGCCTCGCATCACAACGTTAATTTGTTCCAGCGAAATCGCTGTAGAACGAAAACGTGATGCAATTTTTAAAAGCCCATAGAAACACATTAAAACCAGATTAATGCATTCCTAGGGGCTTCAAACTCACCATCCAGCAAAGATCCTCCATAGCACGGCTATGTTCGCTGCCTGTGCAGCGAGGAATCCATGTTAAAACACAGCAGGTGGCCATTTTATTTACCCGGCAGCCATTTGGAAACCGCCAATCAGCTGTTAAAAAATCATCGCTTTGCAATGATTGGTTCCCGAAGCAGGGAACTGATCATTGCAAAGCAAAATTCCCCCATAGGGAACATCGTTTTGCGATTGCAAAAAGTTCATTGTGATGCGATTTCGTCGTCAAATGGAGCGCCCGTCTTGTGGGGCACCACTGTACTCTATTTGGAACTTTGTCCTGCTAGGTGATACCAAAAATGTGTCACAGACAATGCATATGTAAAGTGTTCAGCTTCCTCTCCTGTTGTCCACAAAGGATCCAGGACTCAAAGTAGTACAGTAGTATACTCAGGACACAGGCTCTATACACCTGGATCTTGGTATATGCAGTCAGCTTCTTATTGAGCCATAATCTCTTTGTGAGTCTAGAGAACATGGTAGCTGTTTGCCAATGAGTTTATCCAGCTCGATATCTAGAGACAGTATGTCAGAGATCATTGACCTGAAGTACACAAAATTGTGAACAACCTCCAATTCTTGTTTAGAGATGGTAACAGAGGGAGGTGAGTCCACGCCCTGGCCCATGACTTATATTTTCTTCAGGCTGTTTCCTAATCCAAAATCTTGGCAGACCTTGCTAAAGTGATTCATAAGTTGTTGGAACTCCTCAGCAGAATGGACAACAACAGCTGCATCGTTGGTGAAGAGGAAGTCCCGCATGCATTTCACTGGACTTTGGTCCTTGCTGTCAATCTAGAGAGATTAGAGAGCTTTCCATCTGATCTAGTCTGGAGATAGACACCTTCTGTTGCAATTCCAAAGGCGTGCTTCAACATGACAGCAAAAAAAGATCTCAAACAGGGTCGGCACAAGGACACAGCCCTGTTTCACTCCGCTTCAGATGTCAAAGGGATCTGATGTTTAGTCATCAAAAACTACAGTGCCCTTCAGTTCCTCATGAAAGGACCAGATGATGTTAAGGAGTCAAGGTGGACATCTGCTTACAAGTACTGTATACTCCTATATTTAGAAAACCTTGAGAATGGTCATGATAAGTTGGAACTGACTTGTTGGCCTATAATTATTAGTACGTTTCTGTTTCGAGCAGATCTCCTGTTGTCTTTATCTCAATTTCTGAGCAAAAAAACACACCACCCTTTGGAATGCACCAATACCTATTAGGGGGAGGACAGATTATATTTATACGGTTAGTTTCTGGGATGCTAGATCAGTAGTGCCTTCATTTTACAACAGAGGTATGGCACCGTTGCAAGTACCTTCGCTAACATAAAGTGTGTTTTTGCTGATAATATTGTTCTAGTTGTGAGTTCTAAAAGTAATTGCATCTAACACAAGATTTAGATCCAAAATATATATCCCAAGGCAGTCCTCTGAGCCAAAATGAGGTGTTGATCCCCTACATCTTTGCCTTGCTTCCTCTGGAATATATTGAAGGACTGGCAAATCAGCAGAACACCCTCTTTCACACCTCTCCACATTTTACATGAGCATTGTCACAGGTGTGGCGCAACCTATGAGGTGGATGAGTGCTGCATGGATACAGGCAGCACTGATTGCTGAGAAGCAATACTTTTGTGTAGTCAATGAAGCAGAAGTAGATGTTTTTTCTGGAACTCTCTGGCCTTCTTCATAATCCAGCACATGTTAGCAATTTGGTCTCTAGTTCCTCTGCCCCTTTGAAATCCAGCTTGTACTTCTGGGAGTACTTGGTCCACATACTGCTGAAGCCTACCTTGGAGGTTTTTGAGCATAATCTTGCTAGCATGTGAAATGAGTGCAATTATATGGTAGTTGGAGCATTCTTTGGCACTGCCCTTCTTTGGGATTGGGATGTAGACTGATCTTTTCCAATCCTCTGGCCACTGTT